GCACACAAGATAATTGTCAGACATGACTGTGACATCTGGTCATCTATTTAGTTGTCTATAAAAGAAAATCACGTTTATTTGTGTGTTCTAGCTGTGGTATTTCACTATTTCTTTCTTTAACGTGATTATTGGTTTATTTTCAATTGCTTGTCTTTTAAAATAAATAGTGCACAGACATGCAAACCTTAATGAAAATCTTATCTGGCTGGGTAACTAACAAGCCGAGCAAAAATATGCAAAAGGTAACAGTGGAATGAATGGGTCAATTCAGTGGCATGGTTCAAAGATAATCAGTGGGTTTTATTCATTATTGATCACTTACTGTGGCTATGAAATTGGATTACATGGTTAGTTTAGATTCATGATGATGGGGAGAATCACCACAGACATTAAGGCACGTATAGTCTTGGGAATTAAGCTTTTCTTTGTTTTGCTGCTTGAAGGGTTTTTTTTTTCTACAAGTCTTAGCAAAAAGCAAAAGAGCACAGTAAAATACTGTATGCCATCTGAAAATCATATTAAGTGGTCTCTATGCGGCTGAAAACTCCCCTAATAGCTTTTTATAAAAATAACACAGCCATTCTGTTAGTTTATTGAGCCCCTTGTGGGTATTTTGTACATAGTGCTATATTTCAAAGGGCATAGAGCTGTGTTGTGGACCTATCCTCTGATGATTCGTGCTAATGGTCTTCAAGCTTTTAAACCATTGTTGGATCACATCTGATACTCCTGAACTCGCATGACATGATTCAACATAACCTTTTACCATTGGTCCTTTCTGCTTTTTTGTGGAGCTCTGTTCTGGGCTGACATGACATTGAAACATTCCTGTTCGCCACAGGATGAATCCTACTAACTCACGACATCCTCGGACTTTCCCTCTTTGGGTTTTGGTGAAATATCTTTAATAAAATCAAACAAATTACAAGTTCTGAAATCCTTTTTAAGGATACATTGCAATAACTTCAGTGATCTCTTGACTTTTCACAAAATACCATGACTTATTGGCTTTTCATCAAAAACCATCTGCTTCAGCTCTACTATTTGTTTATCAGTGTTGGAGTAAGGACAGTCAACATTCATCCTTTTACCTAACACTATATCAAAGTAGTGTTGTGAAAAGTTAAGATACAACACATATTTGCTACCTTGTGTGTTTTCAGAAAACATTGGCAAATTGGTCTAATGACCCACTGTAGGCCTAATGTGTTAAGCCTCCCAAATTCCACTAATTAATCAAAGTATTCTAATGTTTTTAAAGACTGATCTCTGTATTGAAAGTGTAATAGTTTTACTCAGTTGTGTGCAGAAGAACATGTTTGCAGCAAGACTAGTTTAAATGAAGTAGAACATGTTTGTCAAATATCATACATTTCTAAATAGATGTTTGTAGAATTAAAATGTTTAAATCTTAAAATACTTTGATTCAACACTCGCCTCATCTATGTGCAGACCTTTTTCTCATGAAGTAAGCTCCACCATCTACTTGAAACCTACTTTTCAAGTATGGTTTTTCTTGTGAAACCTATAATGGACACATCTATGCAGCCTCATACATTATTGAGAACTTCCCCCACTCCTGCTGAGATTTGAACCAGCAGCTGAAGAGGTTTTTTCTTCCAGATGTTGAACACCAAACCTGTGTGATCTGCTGTCATTTCATCTCTCTTGTCATTTTTTTGAAGTGAAACTTTGGACAGCAGGTTGCTGCCTGTATAGATGTCTTTTTCAAAGCTATAAACAGGATTGAGGGTTTTTGGCAGCTGAGAAATTATTTTTTCATGCCACTTGACTTGTCATCAGTGGTTAAGCACCGGCAGCAGCCTCTCTCTACAGCAGCCCTACACTGCTTTAAAGCTAAAGATTAAGGTTATTATGGGAGAAAAACATCGGGGCAGATCAATAGTGCATTTAAAATATTGATTCACATCCGTCACTAGGATCATTCTTCATGTCTGTCTGTCAATTGTTGTAATACATTTATTTTTAAAGCACTTTACAGCAAATCTACCAGCATAAATCACTTCTTTAATTAACTGTGCTAATAATCATGATCAGACTTGATCCAGTGACTGGCTAATGCTGAAGGTTGCATGAGTAAACACTAACACTGGGAAAAAACCCTTAATCTTTGGTGCTGCACACACCTAGAACATGTTACTAAACACATTTTAATCAGGGGAGACTTGAAGCGTGAACAATTATTTATTCAACAGTTTAGTAAAAGATAAATGTGCAATGTCTTTGGCAGTTAGATTCTGTCACATTAACCCTTTTCACACATACGGAAATCTCCTGAAAAACTCCGGAGATTAGGCTACCCATAGGGGATTTAGGCTATATGTGAACGCAAACGGCTGCATTTTTCGCGCAGACATTACCCGGAGTTTCTCAGACCAGACCCCTAGTATTTGATAGAGGAATGCAGGATGTGATGGGGAGGAACTGGAATGGAGGAGTGGGGTGGAGGAGGGTCGCAGCGATGGCACTGAAATTACAAAAAGGATTAGACTATGCTGTCACAGTCTAACGGAAGCAGATCTGTCAGCTACAAGTATACAGCCGCATAGGACTGGTGTCTGCTACTCATCCTTAACAGTTTGCTTGTGAAAGAGCGCTCTGTTGAACCTCAACTTTGTATGGGGAAAATGTAACTAATACATCTAAGCTACTGAAAAGCTTAGCTGTCCAGACCACAGAACAGAGCAACGCTACCGCCAAGCTACTGAAAAATGCAGTTAAACTACTAACATCGCGATTTGTAGTGACTACTATTAGTACTTCTGAAAGTGTTACAATGTTTTTCTGAAAACTTTGAGCAAGCTTTTTCTTGGGGAAATACATTTATTTTATAAGCAAGATAAAGCAACCATTAAACATTTACTCAAGTTTACAGCTGTTAACAGGAAAACACAGTTACCTCATGAAACACATACATGAGGTAACTGAGTAGACTGCCTTATCTGCATAATGATGTTATTTATCTTAACATCTCCTTACTTTACCTTTGTATAAAAATAATAACAAGGGTTTTATTTTAAACCATTGCAGACCCTGCTAAGATATCATCATGTGTTTAGGTGTTTTATTTTTGTTATTGGCACTTTGAACGACATAATCATCCTCAGAATACAGATGGTTAAGTCTGTTTGCACAGCGGTGAGAGAGCTCAGCAGTTATGGAATCTCACAAATAATACCCTTCAGAGCAAGGTTGTAAAAACAATAGGTCGTAAAGTGAACTAATCAAGACGTCAGAGAGAAAACAAAACATGAATTGAAGTCAGGAAATACCTAAGAGGCTGTAGAGAGCACTGTAATTACCTGCCAAGACTTAACCAGGAAATACGCAGGCTTTTTTGCACTCTGGCACACTTCTGTCTATTTATAGGATTGGGAACAAATATTTTAATCAGAATCTAAACTGAGGTTGCTCATTACATTTTTAACATTTGCATTGATACTTTATTTTAAGTATGTAAATAATGTATATTATCGGCCTACAGTAGAGCATTTCTATCCTGGTCTGGTTTTTAGTAATTGTTTTACATCCGCTTTGTGAAGGGCATCTGGAAAGACGCTTATTAGAAATGACATCCTCGACATGACATCACCTGAAATGTGAAGTACCTGAGTGTTTAGAGATGCTTTAGGTACAGGGTGAACAGATAAAGGGGAGATTTGCATTACAAAGCTCAGTAAACGTATAACGTGTACATTTTCACATGGCTATGTCTTTCTTACAGGGTTTGTAGCCACTTGTATGGGTGTGGTTTTGTTGTTGTTTTTTGTCTAGCTGTATGCGCACTGATGCTCTTTTATACAAATGAAGTTCCTAAGAGATAACTAAAGTTATTTGAATTTTCTCAGGTCATCTGTGTGAATATCAGCATAAATACTGACCCGAAATTAAGTTAACTTGTCATTTTAAAGAATAAAAAGTTCTTCACAATTTTATGACAAAGCTGCAGACAGGTGAGGGGAGTGTTGATGAGCTGGTTAGTAGGAGAGAAAAGTATTTGAGAGGTGGTCTGTAGAAATGTTGGAATAAAGTCCATTAGTGTCAGATAAAGAGTATTCATAGCTGTGTGTCTCAAATGATCGAAGACATGTGGTTCTAGAAAAATTCCTTCAAGCAAATATTCCTTTGTAGTCTTGGTTGAGGGAAGAGTGGCATCAAACCCTCAGGGATTGTCAGAAATTGTGAATCCGAGTACTGAGACATTGTCAGCATTAAGCCCTGTTGTTTACACTTAAATTAATTAACTAATCAGATCTAGTGTTAAAAAATGGAGGCATGTCATTATGAGCACTGATCATTTTTCCTCAAGTTCAAAGGAAAGTATTTAAAAAGTTTCAATTCCCCAAGGTCAGTGTCACCACAAACACAGTTTAAAAACGGTCTGCAATTTGTATTGGCTACATGGCTTAAACAAAGGCTAAATTCAGCTTCATAGACTCTGATGAACTGCATTTTATATTCTTGTCACAGTACAAGTACCCTTACCTGAGAATTGTTGTGACAGGCTTTTATGACTGCATAATAAAATGTCTTCGTTTATCATCGTTACTGAAATACATTTCAATCAAACCAGCTCTGCTGTCAGGTTTGTGTAACATTTTTGAAAAAGTTAATGCCATGCGGCTGTTAAATACCACTGCATTGTGTTTTTCCATTCACTTCCCAACAGTACGAGTGGCTTATTGTTCATACTTGTATTTGCTGAGAATGCTGATCCGTCACAGTTACTGTAATGTCTGCTTTTTTTGTCTGAGTTACATAATACAACACTGTTGAGACTTGTCAAATTGCCGCACACAGAAGCCTTACCAAGAACAATTACACAAGTCTGACAACAATTGCAGACATGATTCTTACTGGGAAGCAGACAGAACAACTTTTGGAACAGGCTGCTTCATCAATCCTTTCCCTCCTCCTCCTCCTCCTCCTCCTCCTCCTACCCCTTCTTCTTTTTCCTCCACTCCAATTCCCATGTGCAGGCAGACTGGTGAGGCTACCCGGAGCCCAAGAAGCAGGAGAGACAGGTTTTCAGAGAGAGGATAACAACCAGAGGGAGAGAGAGAGAGAGAGTTTGGTCGAACATCCCTCAAAATGAAGAAAAGCAGCAGTGCACAGGGGGTTACACCAGGCGATGTAAGTACAGTATTGATTTCTTTCAACCTTCCATCTGTACAGCAACAAATCCATCCATGAATTCATTACACGGCCTCTCATTGTTTCTCTTTATCGGAAATCCTACATCTCGCCTCCAAAGTTTACAGCCTGATTCGACAGTTTGCACAGTTTCTGTAAATTTTTGTAACGTTAGTCTTTCCTCTGTGTCCAAACACAACAAGCTCTAGTGGGAGCAAGGTGCAGTACTGTATGTCTGTGTGGTGGTCAGTGACTCATGAACAGATGACTGTACCGTACACAACAGACCGCTATCCGGCAGGACACACCGCAGAGAGCAAGATGGTTTGTGTGTGTGTGTTGGTGTGCGTGTGTGTGTTGGAACAGAGGATGAAGGACACGGTGTTTTGCTTGAACTGACAGAGATAAAGAATTGAGGACTGATGCAGAGTTTAGAGGACGGAGGCAGAGCAGGAAGAAGGGGAAAGGTGTAAAAGAGAGGTCACAGCAGGAGACGTTCAGTGCATTGAGTGAATGGAAGCATGGGTGAGAGGGGGATGAGCAGAGATCTGACAGAGAGGTCCATCTGTTTCTCCTCCACAGCACCCGTGTTTATGACTGAGCAGGCAGGTCGTAATCATTTACTCCAACACTGTCCAAAAAAGCTGAGAAACCGAGCTACAGCCTGGAAAATTAAAGTTTTCCTGCTGAAACATCTAAATGCAGCCAGAACTGAGATCTGGCAGAAACTAAAAGTGTATGATAAAATGTTTCAAACGTGTTTAATGGGTTAGGGTTAGGGTACATTTTTCACTTTAATAGAGCAAACACACAATATAGCCCATTTTAATGGCCTGTGTTGTCAGGAATGATTTATAGTAACTTTGACTTTAATACGAGCAGTAATTATGGCAACAGCAGACACATTTTTTTAAAAGACTGGTGTTTCATTTGGGGACCAAAACTTTGGATTAATAGCACTTAAAACGCTCATTACATTCTACTGAAGGAAGAGTGACGGCGTCTTTAATGTTTCAAATGTTTGTGTTTCACAACTGAGGACTGCAAGTGCCTTTTGACTAGACTAGACCAATAGTTCAATCAGGCTACTTAGTAAGTGTTTTGTGTCGCATTCATTTTGGACTATCACTTAACCAAAGAAGGATTTTAGAAAAAAATATATATTTTATTTATTTAATCATTATTTGTTTTTCACTTTTGATGATGACAGGTGAGGCCTCCCCTGACCGCATGTCTCTGGTCAGAAGCCCCTCATTGAAAGTGAATTAGTGACGTGGTGAGCCAAATATGCAGGGAAGTCTGTTCAGAGGTTTTTTTTTCTTAAACTATCAACATTGGTCACCAGCAATTTGATAATTGTATCGCAGTATTCAGGACTACAATATATTGCTTTATAATATTTTTCCCCATCCTTTTTGTCACAATAGCTGAAAAATATTATTTTTGTATTAAGATAAAAAAAACTAAAACTTTAAGATCTACAAAAATAAACAAACCATTTTTGTTGGGCAGATGAGGACCCATCAAACCCAACCATAAAAAGGCCACAGTGGTGTGGCTTAGTTAAAACAGAGAAACCTAATAACCCACTTATTATTTATTTATTCCATCATGTCTGGTGTGCAAAATGTCAGGCTGAAGTTGAAGACATCTGCTATTCTCCACTACTCCACACCCTCAGGTTTCCATAGCCCACCTTTCATTAAGATTCAATAGCGCATATCATTTAATAATTTAAGATTTTCTTTCCCCCCATTTTGCTCTGGGATACTCAGACACTATACCAATCTTGATCAAGCTTCTGTCCTAAATCTGCCTCATTTATTTCACCTTCCTTGGAAAAGGCTTATTGGAAGAATCCCAGAGAAGTAGTTTAAGCTCTGAGGACGAAAAAGACCACTCTCATCTTCAGAGAGAGAGCACTCACGACACCTCTGTTTGACACTGGAGCTATAGTACCTCCTTTCATCTCACATCCTGTAGACCATATTTAGACACGTGTAATTAATCCATCTTTTTAAATTTAAAGTACAGACATCTGATCCTCCTTTAGGATTATTTACAGGCGTATATGAGGGGAAAAGAGCTGTCTTTCCTCGTCCAAAAGACATTTGGAGCACAAACATGGAATCAATGAATAACTAGATTCACATTTCCAGTGTCAGAGATGCAATCGATACACGATTGATGAACAATTTGGCAGTGAAACAGCAGTGTTAGTGTGGAATATTGACAAGAGACTATTTAGAGCTCTGCTTATAATGTTTGTTGTCGAGAGTGATCGTGTAAGTGTAACAGCGGTGGAACAGAGTTGTGTTGTTACAGATTTAATTTTCAAACCTTTTCCCTTGGACGGGAGGAATGTGTCTTAAAGAGACAGGCACCATAAATCAGACAAATTGCATTTCCTAGAAGGAGCAGAGGAGTCAGCAGAGCTGTGTTTACAGACAATCAAAGGGGAGGACAGATTCACATCTCTGTGTGTTTTTATTACTTCTCCTCTGTTCACTTCATATGACTCTCATTAAGAAACGTCTTAACCCCCGTCTCCTCCCTCTATTCTCAAAAGTTCTCTCTTCATGTTTCCGCTTTGCTACTCAATTTTTTTGTCCCTGCCATTATTCCAAGAGAATAATTAGAATTATGAATTATTCTCTGGAAAGAAGAAACAGAATTACTTTTCCTTTCGGCCTGTCCGTCCCCTTTCTTCATTCTGAAATGCTGTTGCTCCTTCCTCACCATGTAGTCATCCTTATACTAACATCCGTTCACACACACACACTTGCATTTGAAGTTATTGTTTTTCTCTTTGAAACTTGAAAATGTCCCATGAAAGATTAAAGGTCAGAGAAGATCTCTCTGTCCTGCTTAAAGTTAATTTGATGGGACAGTGTTGCTGAGAAATAAATTGTCCCTGACAGAAACAGGTTTTTGATGTGCAGATGTAAATGTGTTTATGCAGCAGTCTCTGACGTCCTTCCAAGTTTCAGTAGATGCTAATGTTTTGCCTCTCTGGAGGGAACTTAACTGTTTTCTAACTTTTTGTTTTGGTCTTCTGTATTAATATAATAATCAAGATCATAACCACAATTATAAATCAAAAAGGGGCAAATTAAAAGTAAAAGTTGACCTAAATACTTTGATGGCTTCCCTTCCAAGATCTCTCTCTGTCTTTTGTTCAGTATTTGTAACAGCTAAGAGGGTACAGCAGTTTGTAAAAGGCAGAGACAAAATGTGTGCTACCTTTTCTGTCCATAAGGAACCTCTCTACACTGTATTATAGTTTACTGATCTTGATCAGACAAAAATGGATATTATGGGCTCAAGAAAATGGAATATCTGATCTAAAATATCTAATATCCAAAGACCTGTATAAAATGATTGGACTATCTTGTGGTAGGTTCTTCTACTCTGCAGAAATATACAGTATTTGTCCACTAGAGGGCAGTGATAGGTTGTTTTTTTTCTTTGCTCTATAAAGACCCTCTTCTGTCACAACCCCGTACACACATCTACATGTATACTGCTGTTTATATTTCTATTTTTTGAGGATTATGTTCTTGATTGATTGATTATTTGTTTGGTCAGTAACATGTCAGGAAAAGATAAACATGTTGATCAGGGTCAGTGCACAGAGGCTTTAGTCCTGAAAGGGGGCAGCCCGGGTTTGACTCCAGCCCTCAGCACTTTACCACATGTCATTCCCCACTCTCTCAGCTCAGTTTCCTACTCTTCCACTGCCGTCCACCCTATAATAATGTCATAAAAGTCCCACAAAAATCTTTAATAAATATATGTTTATCAGAAGCCCTATTCTGACTGTCTGTTCAACTCACTATATTTACTCCTCTGTGAGGTTTCGCCTTCACTTTGAATGTCACAGAGGGTTAATGGGAGGGGCTGTGTGTGTGAAGCTCCCACTGTGAATTCACAGACTGGGACACCAATATTACACCGTCACAGAAACAATATGGACATACAAAGACGTCATGAAGGCGGAGCTTTGTTATGACACTGTCGCACTCTGAAAAGGGCCAGTGTCTCCCAAAACCCAATATTTGGTCGTCAAGTAACTGGTTTTAACCCTCAAGATAAATATGTTTAGTTACTGTCATAGAGAAGGAAAGAAACCAGAACAAACTCACATTTAAGAGACTACGATCTGAGAATTTGTCCTTTTTCCTAAAATGTTACTCATACTGAAAATCTGTTATCAAAATAGTTGCAGTTTACAAACTTCCAACTCAAAGAGAAATCAATTCAACTCTTCTATAAGGTAGAATTACACACTTTATAACTTCAGTTAATCTTAAAAACATGATAAAGTAATTGCATTTAGCTTAATAACTCTCTGTTTGATTGCATAGGTCAAACTGTGGCTTCTCGTCCTACACACTCTTTCACTTGCGGTTGGTTCACACTCATCCTCTATGTTTGTCCCCCCTCTACCTCGTACTCCGAGTACACAAATGTTGTCCTGTTTACGAAACCACCATTCTAGGAATTCATTGATTTGTCCTCTCTCTCTCTCTCTCGCTCATTTATTTGAACACAGACACAGAGTGTTTCATTTACACTTGCATGCAGCGAACAGAAAGTGGACATTGATGTATGCAGATTGAGCTCTGGCAGCCCGCCTCTGTTTCCTCGGTGCCTGGACTTGTTTATAACCCTTCATCACAGACAAACACCCTGCTGGAGCCTTCACACTCAACCAAACATACTTAACACAATTTATATTCAGCAAAGGCTAATAAAAATGTCAATTGGCGCGTCTGGTGGATGACTGCAATAGACTTCGATCACACAGTTTATTTTCTCTGTGTATTGAAGCTTGAAACATTCGTACACTGTCCGTTACTTTGTTAAACCACAGATCTGATACCCTAACTTCTTGAATAACAATCTTTATGTTGATTTAACCTATTAGTTTTAAAATACTAAGTGACTGGCTTAAGGCTGTGATCTCGTCCTCTGACTGTGTGTGTGTGTGTGTGTTTGTGTGTGTGTGTGCGTGTGAGTTTGTTTGTGACTGCGTGTTTGCACATGTACCGTGTGTTTATTAGTGTTTGAAACATGTCTAAGGGCAACAGAAGTCATTTCTGTTAGCCTATTAAACAATAGCATGTCAGAAATTATTGAAGTCAAATGAAGCCCTGTTGGAAAAATATTTTTTGTACTGTAGCTATGTCTGGTGATTTCTCCGAAAGATGAAGGAATTTTATTTATATAATTAATTAGAATTTTGAGTTTATTTGGCCTGAAAGTGCAGAGAAGTGTTACATTTTCAGTAACATTTGATCAAATGAGCCCCGGGTTCGCCTCCACCGTGGCCTCCCTCCGCATGTCGTTCCCCACTCTCTCTCCCTGGTTTCCGACTCTATCCACTGTCCTATCTCTGCATTAAAGGCACAAAAGCCCAAAAATAAATCTTTAAAAAAAATAAAAACATTAAATCACAGACACAGCTGTATATCAGAAAGTAGTTTGAGTAATGCCAAATGCTTTGTATCATTTTAATCAAAACAAGTGAATCAATGCACATGTTAATGAAAAGTAAGTGTGAATTAGAGATTTTTTTGCATTGATATTTGATATCAAAAATTGTTTTTGTTTTGTAAAGCTACATTTGATAACGGTGTCCTCCTCCAGCAGATAAACTTCTGATGGGGTTTTTCCTTCATTATTGGATTAATTATCACCTAGGTTTTCTTCATCTTTTTTTCCACCACTAATCCGATCTACAGCCAATATTAAAAGCCAGTGACGTGAAAATCTGACCCATTGTCACTGTTTCTTTTCTCAGGAGAATAAGGAGACTCCTGCGGGACAGCTTTACTCAGGCAGCACGCTCGGGGTTGAGCTGTTCAAAGTCCACAGGCGATTTTCTGGAAACCTGCAGCTGCCTCCATTGTCATGGCGACAGGCTGAAAAGGAGAGTTACAGGGGTAGGTCCCTAACACCTGAGGAAGATCCAGTGACCCGGACCAGACCGACAAGTCTGCCTATCGGGTCATTGCCCCGCATAGACATCACAAACGCCGACCCTGACAGGTAAAAAAAAACAAAAAAACAATCATCACAGTGATGCAGAGTTGGTCAATTTGGTGGATTGACAAGCCTACAAGTTTTTAATTTTTTTTCCTAGTATTCAAACACATACACCTAGAAAAGACGAGGAAAAGGAAAATCCAAATATTACAATTAGAGAAGCCTTGGTATCTTTGTTTGACAGAGAATGGGAGACGAGGCTGTTTTGGAATTTTGCAGGTGTTTTTCAATTCTGCATGGTTGTGAATTTGTAGCCTGTTTCTCCTAATGGGAATAGTTTGGGATATGTTGCAGTGCAGTCACTGTCACTTTAACTTAACCTTATGCGTGTTGAAAACAGCCTCAGTCAGGGTTTTTGTACCGTCTTCTTTTGACATTTGATTTGCACATTAGCACGAAAAGATTGCAGTGACATTTAGATTTTTGTTTTGTCTCGGTGTATGTGTGATCCAAAAGCTGTTCTTTTGTTTGCTTCATAGTTTTAGTTTCCTAACCCTGTGCCCCGGAGAAGAACAGATGGTACTAACAATAATTCTGCAGTCGTGCAGTTGAAAACCCTCCTTTGTTGTGTCTACCTTTGAGGCTGAACACAGTGGGCTGCTGTCGCACAGTAGCATTAAATCAAACTATAAAAGAGACTTTCATCATGGCTGTCGCTTTACTTTATTAAATGATATATTTCTTTGAACCCTAGAGACTCACTTCACCTAACTATTGATGATTACAGGCTCTTATCAGACCTGTTTTATCAATTGACTCTTTCTTTCTTTTATCTCCATGAAACTCTCACTCTGCTCCTCGGCTTTAAAAAAAACCAAAAAAAAACATGAGGGCAATGAGCTCAGAAATGTTTGACCCATGTGTTGTAAACCACAACTTTGTATACCGTTGATTATTTGGCTGCCACTGATAGCCATTCAGCTTGATGACGTTTCAGATTTTATTTGCGTAATGAATATTGCGGGAGAGGGGTTGTCGAGCACATTTCAAGTGGGGTAATGAATCATAATCTTATAGTCATTCTTCTGGCTGAATATGTGTTTCAAAGTATCAGAAATTGTTTAAGTGTTATTTTCTTTTGGGCGTGGGCTGGGTGATTTCTTTTGAGCATCTATGACTTTTCCTTCTTCATCGACATAAAGCAGAAAGAAAAAATGGTGGTGTGATTTAAGTGTAGAAGAACAAAGCTAGATAAGAGCCGTCACTTTTCTTTTGTCAGACTTGCAGGAGATCTATTAAGAGCTGGTGGAGAGAGCAGGTAGCTGAAAAGTTCAAACACCTGTTGAGAATCATTTTGTGATTTTTGTGAGAAAGAACAAGAGATCTGTCTTTTCAACCTTTTCATTTGTATTTATTACCTCTATTTACTTACTCTGTTCTTCTACAACTATAGCACATTTGTGCTAATAAGATAATTCAGACTTGCTGAGCTAATATCCATTTATCAAACAGATTAATTGGGATATGAAAAAACTAGAGACAGACAATGACAATAAGAACTTACATGGATAATACCTTCTAATTTTTACTAATTACAATAGGCCTGCACAAGACATTTTGCAATGTGAGATTCAATATTTTGCCATGACGATAAGACGTGTGTTAAACAAACATTGAACTTTTAGAAGTTGTATCTGGTGAAGTGTGCAAGATGAGACAATGACATTATTCGGTCATGAAATCCCTCTATTATTTTAACAAACTGCGCAAAGCAGAGGGTTAACTATTTTTCTCTGAGCTGCATTATGCTGATGAAGATCAATATCTTTCCAGTTCATCGTCAATGCTTGTGATGTTACAGTGAAGTTACTGTTATTGCTTTGACGTTGGGTAGCACCATGTCCATGTCATTATAAAGTGTTACTTGAAGTTGCAGTCACTGTTTGAATAACGTTTGATCTATATTGCAGCAGCAATGGTCTAGTTTAAGAATGGCCAGCCTGTTCCTTTTTCCTCTCTGTGTTTGCGCTCGGATGATAACAGGAGGCTCTGGTTCATGTCTCTCTCAGATGTCCCTGGGTCATACTGCTCTTAGCCTGCTTAGTTACCTCGAATGCTAACTTAACAAAACGATGTGGATGTTTAATATCAAAACACTGTCATGATATTAAATAAACAGGAGATTGTGTTTATAATATACTGCTTTCTGACAGAACAAAGACATGAATGCTATTTTAGGTCATTTTTTTAAGGATAGAAGTCCTAAAAATATGAAAGAGCTCTTTCCTGTTTGTCAGAGAACTTGCTAACAAAAGAAAATAGTATGAAGCAGTTTCATAAAGATCACACAAATACTGAAGTGGTTGTCAGCCACTGTCTGATATAAACGTTATTAACCCTTCCCCTCGCCTTTCCTGAATATTTCCTACTGTGTTCACACACGAGCTCACCCCAACTTCTTGAGCAGATTCTTGGGTAAAATCCGTCCATTTGCGGCCACTCATGCAGCTCATCCAGACACTGTACGGGACATTTTCAGGAGTTTCATGTGAAAGACCATTTACCTTCTGTATGTTCTTAAGTAACGCTTAATTCAGGCTTTTCAAACTTAAACAATCGAATTATGGCATCACTGATTCTTTTAGTGATTAGTTTGAACTATGATATAACTTGTGATCCTTGTGTCAAACACTTTTACACTGTTATGGAAATATTTCAGTGAAGTAAGAATATGTACAAAGACCAAGACCCAATCGTCTTTGTGAGGTTTTATTCTTGCAAGAAGTTGGAAGAAGGAGTGACTGCACAGAGTGTATCATGGTGATCAGTCTGCAGAGAGAGGGAGACTGTGAGTGAGTCAAATGAGAGAGACACTGAAGACTCCTTTTATACATGTCAAGGAGGAAGGAACAATATTGACATGCTCTGTTGTAGGAGATAAGCAGTTTAACACAATCAACCTAAACAGAAGAAGAGCAGATGTCCATGCAGAGTCATCCTCGTAGAGATCAAAGGTCATGCAAAACCCCTCTAGAATAACAAGATGTTTATAGGTCAGTTTAACCTAAAACAGCATTTCTTGAATAGTCAGACAGTTCACAACTGAATTATTTTAACACATAAACAAAATACATTCAACCCTCTGTCACTACCTGTTCGTCCTCTGACTTCATTAGCTTGTATACGAGCAGAGATACTTATTTTACAGCAGAAGTGAACTGAGATCTCATTGCTTTCTTCTGAGTTAGTTATCATATTTTAATTCATGATCACATCAACTTATCATCTTTGATTTTATTTGACCATTTACAAAATACATCTGTTACCTGAAGGTACTTTCGAACATGATTAAGTTTGGGATACAGGGAATACAAAAATACAAATAAAAATTTCTTCTGCCTTTTTTTTTCTTTTTTTGCAATGCATAATAAAACCTTCTCTTTGACAATTAAAGGAAGGTTCAGTTTTTATCTGAAAGGGATGCAGTGATTGTGACTTTTAACTAGATATGTATATGGCCTGGATGCTTCATTTAGGATAAAAGGGACTTAGCAAAGCGCTACTCCTGGTTCATTTGAATATTACATTAAATGCACGTTATTGAGAGTTTGAGAAATGGAAAATAATGATTGGTCTTTGCTCTGTAAACTTTAGTGCATACACATTAATAGGACATCACAGGTTGTGGAGTGCAGGGCGGGGCCGGATGGTAAACGGGCGGATTAATCTTCAGTGGCTTAATATCAGCAGGAAAAAGGGACAGGCGGTCAGATAAACAGAGCGAGTCCTGCAGCAGTCCAGAGCTGCCTGGTTTTTCTACCAAGCGGACTGTATTCCAGCACGTGGTCTGTTTCTGGACTGAAAGAGGGTCCGTCAGTGTGTGTTTGTGGGTGAGAGGTCTAAATATCTGCAGCTTTTGGTGCCTGATGAGGAGGTGAAAAGGAAGAGAAGAATGCTCCGGAGGTCCCCAAGGTGCAGAGCGGGGCACTTTGACTTCAGCGATGATGTTGTGAACAGAGAACACCTCTCAGCTCCCAGGTGAATCTTTGCCACTTCATTTTGGTAAATTCAGAAAAGCATTTTTCTTCAGCTGAGATGTTACTGGACAGTCTTTTTCACTATTTTAAGATCTGCAGCTTTGTTTTTTTCTGAACTATATCTAGAATTTATAAATTAATTACATCATGGTTGAATTTATCATAATCATAATTATTTTCTAAAGAGAGAAATAAAAGGGAATTTTATTCAGAAAATTGTTATCCAGCGTAACTGCCTAAACATTAGGATCTACAGAAATGCTGCTCTGATGACTTCCAGCGGTATCCTGCCTGCATCAGATTAAGAGATTAGATTCGAGGTAAAGCATGCTGGTAATGTTGTGAAGTTGGGATTTGGATGACGCAGAGTGCTACGCTGATGACGTTCTTCATGTGTGTAATCAGTCGGAACATTTCACATTAATCTGAGCTCTTCTGGCAGAGGTGTGGAGCTGAGAGTGTCTAGGGGGATAAATATGTGTGGTTAATCCCACATGTTAGAGAAATTACAGAGGCGGGGGGTGAAAGTGCAGTAAAGAGTGGAGTGACTGTCAGGACAGTCCAGATATTACGTGATTGTGGAGAGTTGGTTAAGTGTTTGGGAAAGAAACAAAATGAGACTTTTATTTCTATTGTGGACACTTTTACTGTCCTTAAACCAAAAATGAAATGATCAGCTGAGTTGTAATGTCAATTAAACATAGATTAAGATAAGATATGCTCACAGTTGGAGTCTGACTGGTTTTTAGTTTGATTCATTTTTTTGTGGCATCTGTTGCCCCTGCAGGGCTTTGACTTTTTGGGTTTTGACCCTTAAACCCGGCTCCATCTGACCCGGTCATCTGGTTACCCAACAGCCCGTCCTCTTCTCCTGCACACGCTCAGTTGTTGCAAACAGATTACATCCGTCCACACATCTGTGGTGGATTCACTGTGGCCTCCGCAAACATGCTGGGTAGAGGAACTGTGGCTATTTTGATTATGATGGCATTAAATATGTCTGAATTATCATAATGATGATTTAAAAAAAAAAAAATTGGTAAAGCGTTTTTCAAAATAAAACGTTAACGTGCTTAAAAGAACTAAATATTATAGCTCACACGGTTTAAGTTTTAAAAGAAAGGGGAAAAACAAACTGTTTAACAACAAGCCATCAAAACAATGAAATACATCGGATCAAATAAGGCATTCGACAAATTTACATTCAAAAGAAAATGTAAAAGTTTTTTTTTTTTTTTTCCTTTATTTTGAAGTGAGTCATTTTTTGTGTTTCTTTTTTATCCAATCTGCTATTTCTTCTTTAGATTTTGCTTGGACCATTTCTTGACAGTTTTTCTTTCCTATAATTGGATGTTTAATTTTGGGCAGTTTGTGTATTTTTTCCTTTAAAGAGCCAGAGGCAAACTAGCCCAATATTAAGATTTATTTTTTTCATTACATGGTTTTATGTTTATAGTTGAGTTATAATGTGGTTTATCTGTCAGGGTTGATGAATCAAACAGTCTCCTCTCACAAAATAAAGAGGAGATGCCATCTCTTCAGCACTTATCTTATCCAAACAACAATATCCCATCCAAACAATTAGATGCAGAACAATAAAGATTCAACAGATCCTCCTGTATTCAATAAAAAAAACTATGTCATTGAGACACAGACCAGAGCAGCAAATTACAATCAAAAAGCCCTTCCCCTCTCTGACCGACAACACACTAATTTAATGAGCACCGTAGTTTAGATTTTAGGCCAGTGATGGATTGATGGGTGAATAATGGTTTAATGGGTTATGCAACCATCTCTTTTCCTGAATGGGATTTGTGGCAATGTTGCTCAAGCCAGTATTTAGTGGAAGATTATTGAAAGTACATGATGATGATTTGATAGTCTGTTAAGATTGATTAATATGATTCAGGACATATTGAAAGATTTTAAGAAGACTCACACCCAAAACGTCTTTTAGTATTTATTTTCCAGCATGTTTTACTTCAATATTCTTACTCGGTTGTCCCAAAAAATACATCAGCGAACTTCTTGAGCTCAATCAGAACACTACTGCCAATACTTTACTTTTAAAGTACCAATAGTACTGAGGATGTAACTCCTCTTCTTAAGGCGTTATACTGCCTTCCAGTTTCTTAATTATAGATTTTAAGGTGCTGCTACTAGTTTGTAATCACTCGATAATCTCTAACTAAAACACATCACTGATCTGCTCAAAGAAAATAAACCCAGTAGATCTCTCGGATCTTCAGCAGGCAGTCAGAACATAACAGGGGGAAGCAGCTTTTAGCGTCTATGCTGCAAACAGATGGAAAATGTCGCTCTGATATCAAATGATGCCAAACCTTTTAAACGCTTCAATTTTAGATTTTTAAATCTTAATGTGAAACTCTGTTTTCATGTGACGCCTGCTCTTTTATTTTAGTTACCTAGATACCTAGAGAATATAACTCCTTATTGCTGCTTTGAAATCTGAGGAACTGAGTGTCATCAAAGGACAGAAGAGACAGTATTATAAAACAAATTTATTTCTGTTATTACAGCTTGAAAAAAATGTGATATGGTGTGTATTGAGATAGCATATCCTGCAGACAGATTGTCAGGTTTATATTCCCTCGATGACCTGTCTGATTCAACTTGTGGGACTCGGTGGACAGTCGTCTCAGTCCATCTCACTTTCCTCCTTTGCCAATCACATCCCTGCTATATAAATACAACTGCCCAGCCTTTTTTTTTAAAGGTGAATGTAATGAATAAACAAGAAGCTTTCACATACCTTCTGTACCTTTTCTTTAAATAAAGCTGCAGGGGTTCATCTCCTCTTTCATCTAACTGTTCTCTAACTGTCTTTCATCTCTCTTGTCTCTTAGCTTTGAGGTGGAGAATGGTCCGTCATTGTGCTGCAGTCCTTTAGACCCACAGGCGTCCCCTGGTTCAGGTCTGATCCTGCATCCAAACCAGGCGGGTCATGGCCAGCGGCGGGAGTCCTTCCTGTACCGCTCTGACAGCGACTACGACCTGTCACCTAAGTCTTTGTCTCGAAACTCCTCGATTGTAGGAGAACTGTGAGTTAATAAAAGAATCAGAGAGTGACTGCTGCTTTATCAAGAACACTTTAACGATGTATGGATTTCTTCATCTCTCCCTTTTGACTTCCCATTTCAGGCATGGAGAGGACTTGATTGTGACTCCGTATGCTCAGGTAAGAATTACAAGTCGATAAATCTGCTACTAAGAACGTCGCCTTATGTTTTGTATAAGTTGTATTTTTTTATGTACACAAGTTTCTCTAAAGTCTTTGTTGGTGTAAGAGGTGCTTCACATCTAAAAAGTAACTCTTTTATTCAAGTCATGATGAACCTTTCTGCCATCTGGTGGGCATTGCGTTGGTTGTTCTCCAAATGCATCATTTCCAATTGAAGCTGTGCTCAACTATTGCTCTGTCGAGTTCTGCTCTCTAATCAAAGCAGTGAGCTCCAAACAATCATGACGACAGATGAGGACGTTTTCTGTCTTTGAATCTTTAAAGGAAGTTTATACTCCTGCATGTGATGCTCTACATGACATGCACTCTTTCCACTTTCAGCGTGAAAAAGTGAATCTGTAGATTCCACTTTTTTAATAGTTTTTTTTTAAGTTTTACTGAAGATTTTGTTACTGATTTTGATAGGATGCAGAGTAATGAGCTGCACCATTTAGTACTAAGACGACATTGATCATCGCAGCAAATTAACAAAAGCAATTACATTAAACAATAACTAATCAATCCGTCTGCATTATTAGCTGCAGATGCATGTGAACTTTACGAGAATATTTAGAATTAAATTAAAATTCAAAACACTTTTGACTTTTTCGGAGTCATCATAGTCATAGCAGCCACTAGATGTTTATACTGTGCATCACTGTGAATATTATGTATATTCAAGAGTAGAATTGTAATCTTTGCATATTTTACTCTCTTTTTTTAAAGTACATATTCTGCATATTTCACCCCTTTGTCACTTTCTTCATTTTTTTTGTGTTAGGTTCTGGCCAGCCTGCGGACTGTCAGAAACAACTTCACCACCCTGACAAATGTGCAGTGTGTATCCAATAAGTAAGTCATCTCATCATTTTATGAAAGTGTCTGCTTGTGTTATGTGACTGGATTAAATGCTGAAGAACATCTTCAGATGTGCTGTGAAGATTCCCTTAATGGATGACTTTTTTTCCTTGTCAGAAAACTACATACTTGATTTTTGAGATGAAGTCTTGATGTGGATGAAAGCTGAAGGAGGGAAGTTTTTTTTTAAGATGCTACAATTCAAGATGCAAATATGTGTCACTTGGGGGCGCCAGTGCACTGAAAACATTTGAGTAAAGCGGCCTCTATCAGTAAACCAGATGTCACGAGTGTTTTGATGCTTAGGCAGTTGCAGCATTGACATTGTAGAAGGGACACAGCAACATTTTATTTTATATTTTGGTGATATAATTAGAGGGCTAACTCTGACAACTGGTCTGGGTCATTGGCTGCAGCTGAAACATGTTTAAGGTCACAGAGTCATTATGATCTTAGAGATAGGGGTAACATGTGACATGAGGAAGTCCCTTTTTTTTTTTTTGCTGTTGCAACAATGACTGTTGCTGAAAATATATCACAATACAGGCATTTGTGACACATAAAGGCTCCTGATTTTAATATTTAACGACTCTTTCTCTCTGGTTGCAGGAGGTCTCCTGCTGCTAATCAGCCTTCTGCCACCAAAGTCTGTCTGTCAGGTGAGTCCTAAATTACAATTTATGCAGGATACAAAGAGAGGAGTTTAATGAATGATAATGCGATAGTAATGAGTGTTAGAAACTGTTAAAGGGGTCAGACACTAATAAAAAAAAATGAAATAACATATACGGTATCTAATACAGCCTGAAATACATTACACCAGTCAATGCATGTATTAGCCAAAACAGCAGCCTATGCAGATACATGAAAATATATATGAATTAATGCAATGAGTAACTACTGTGTAAGAGCAACAAAAGACTGGCTTCAAGTAACTAATCCACATCACAAGTTTTTATTTTATTCAACATGTATTAAAACTTAAGAGACTTAAGGGTATGTCCTCATCATTCAATGATGTTAAGAGAACATTTCAATCAGAAGAAACAAACAAATACATAAATAAATACATGCTTTTAAGTAACAGATGCCAAAAAGCAGGACAGGACAAATGATAGCCTAGGTAGTAAATCTGACATCTCATAATTTTTAAGGACCCCAAGGAAACCCCTGTTTTGTGTTTTTGCTGTTGTAGCAATGACTGCTGCTCAATCTGAATCACAACGCGAGCACTTTCTACGCGTCACTAAAATGTGCAGTGATCAGTGGGCTGAAAGTGTAATGTTTGGCCAATCTTTTAAATGATGGAAACCTTCTTTTTTTTGTGTCATTAACATTATGTATACAATAATGGGTAGTGTGTATTATATCTGTATCAGGCAGGAAAATGATACATCAAAACACTTCTACAGGCTTTGCAGTACTTTCTGACTATTTTAGGAGGACATGTCCAAAGACTAAAGATTTAAAAGATACAAAAAAAGAAAGATAATGATTCAAGCATGTAGTTTACGTGCAGTACACAGTACAATGACAAATAAAGTGCCTATTTAACTGTGTGAATTCTACAAACATACAACATGTATAATTTGAAGAAGGCTTGATAAACAATGAAAAACAGGGCGTAGAGGCTAATAATGCAGTCTTAAATGTGGGCAGCTAATTAACACGGGTGTGCCTTTGCAGCATTGTGCACATTCATTTTATGTTCAGTCTTCTCCGTGCTACTTCTTAATTCGTTTAGATATTCTTTGGTTAGAGCTGTAACTCCTCATGAAAATGTCCATGGCTGCAGTTATCAACTTTTAAACTACTGCACAAACTGTTGTTTGTGTGCGTTTGCACACGTGCAAACAGAAGCTGTAATCTCCACTTACTGATACAGGAAACTATCACCTGATAACAACACAAAAATTCATGCACTGACGTTAAGCCTGTGCAGAAGGTATGAAAAAAAGCTGAGGCCCACAGAAGAGATTTAATGCTTAAGATTCACATGAAGGAAGATGTGAAGGAGGAAGAGGACGGGTGAAAGAAAAGGAGGAGGGAGGTAGGGATATTAGTTCCTGCTGCACTGGTTCTTCAAGCCCCGATTGACGTCAGCACAGCCTGCTCACAGCAGCTCTCTACTTCCTATCAGCACAGATGGGCTGCTAGGAGCGTCCCGCAGCAGGAAAAAATACAAGACAACTGTTCGGCTCTTATTTTCCTTCCTCCTCCTCCACACTTCACACAAACCTTGACCTTCACAGAGCAAACTCTGACGAGTGAAACTGTCCTGTTGATGTCTCCCGTCATTAGAGAATAAAAAAGCAAATATATGATTCACTCTGTTTTCATTTGTTTGAACCACAGTTCACGTATGTTTCTTAGACGCCGCTTAGTTTTGACCCACATTAAATGTTAACGTCATCCATGAAACCTGACCATATAAGGATCGAGCACAACACCTGCCACTGCATAGCAGTAATTGTTCGAGTTGTTTAGAAGGAGAGAACAACAATTAACAATACCACAAAGAAAGGTGCCCTCATTTCCTCCTTGCTGCTGCTTTCTGTCTCATTTTTGTCAACTCTCTGAGCGGAAAAGGAGAACAGATTTTTCCTGTTTTGCATCTCTGTTTTAAGTGAGGGAATATCCCTTTTTTTTTTTTTTTTGTTGGAAAAAGTACCTGCTTGTTTCTGTGCATGAAGTCATCTTAGATGGCTGATTTGAGTCTAGATCAAACTTTGAATACGTCTAAAGAGGGAATGAGATGGGATGAAGTGAAACTCATGAGAAGTAGAGTGAGAGTAGTGTTAATTCCTGTAGGAAGATGGTGAGGTTACACAGAGACACTGAGTGAGAGATTGTTTCATGGAGTGAGATTGGAAAGAACAAAAACACAGCAAAGGTCACCGAGAGACGTCAGCGCTTTCAAGCCCTTTAATCAGATGCGATATGAGAGAGGCAGAAAAAAGGGCAGAATAGATCAAATAAACGAAAGGCAGAAACGTGACCGCAGTGACTGGGTGAAAGTGCGGTAGAATCAGAAAACCTTGGGGGGGTATATTATTAAAGATCAGCTCAGCCTCACATGCGTCACTGCAGGCTGTTTACACTGTTAACCATCTTACTACAGTAACGTGACGGGATGGAAGTGTTTCCCGTGTGAGTCTAAATTTATGCTTCACAAACCATCTCATGCCCCATCACATGGGGTCCCATGAGCCCCGTGGCCAACAAAGGGCTCACTCTTCCCTGCCTCGGTCAGATTATAGGCTTTGTTCTATTTTACGCATGAAAAAGGGTACTTTTGAGGAACAGTTTTGATGATGACGTCGGTGACCGTCAAGGACTGCTAATCAATCTGTTACGCTCATCACTAGCTTGAGCTGAATATTGTCGCAGATGGAGACTTCAGGGTTGATGGTTAGAAGAGGATGTAAAACATGATGTTCTTGGGAGGCTGTGTTCCCTTTGAGGAATTAATTGCGCACACGGTGCCTTTAGGAATAAATGTTGAAGTCAGCGTTGCCCAGATTGGAAGCCTGCTTTCTAAAGTTGTGAACATCAAATTCAGCCCCTGAATGAAGAAAAAGAAAGCATGTGCAGACTTTTTACAGTTCTCCTTGGTTTGTATTTAATTCACTTTTAAACAGCTCTCTATGTGGACCTACCTATCAAAATAAAGCAGGTGGACAGTAATAGTAACATATTTAAGGGGTAATTTTGTGAAGTGAAACCTGATAATAAACATGCCGTTCATTTTTCATAAACCAATATACATTGAACAGCAAAAATAAATATTTTCAGTAACTCCTCACTTCCTTGCTAAGACTTAAATGGAAAAGAACCTCTTATTGTCATATTCTCTGTGAAATCGGTTACAGCGAACCTCTGATTTGATTAGTTAACATCAAGTTTAGAAGGAAGTGAAACAGCTCGCCTGACCCGGTTAAAAAATTATCCTCAAATGACTGTGGCGGGTCAGATGTCAAGAACTGATACATCACATCTTTAATGTTTATTATGAACAAAAAGATTTTAAAAAATATGTCTCGTATATGGACTTATGAGGTAACTAATATCAACATGGAGAAGTCTCTCCTCCCAATGAAGAAGTATTCTAGCACAAAACCTCCTTTAAAACCTTTGACCTGTTTGTGTGTATTTCTCATGAAGAAGAGATGATTCCTGACAGATATAATTATTCATAATAATTATTCGTAATTATACATTTATATTCATATATTATCTTTGGACACAACAATGGTAAATCTTTCCCCAGGTTTCCAGTCTCCATATTAAGCTACGCTAAGCTAAATAGCCTCTGAAGGTAAACCTCAAAACATTTTAATATCACTCTTCATGCTGGACAGTAGATCCCCGAGGAATTCACAGGATTCAAAAGAAGTACTTTTTATATTCTTGAGTGGATTAGTTGTTATTCAGTCGATCTGATAGAGTTTGGCTTTTGTTAAATGAGATTTATGTGGAAAGAAACTTTAGGACAAAATGTTTAATCATCTTCGGTAAGCTCTAATCTAATTAGTTTTATTTATTGACAGAAGCTTTGCCTAAGAAGTCTTTTTCCTGATATGTGTCTTTCTGTGGGGAATTCCCGTCAGTTGCTCGGTAGTCCTGCAGTGCAAGAAGATTAGAGTCCGGCAGAAAACGCATTCTTTGCCTTAAGACTAAACACACGTGACTTAGTGCGTAGTGGACAGGGCGTGGGACCCTTTAGTAAGACTTACTCATTTAATTTGTTTCTTTCTGTAAACAAAGAAGATAATGACTAATATCAAACAGGTACGTCTGTCAGAATACAGAAGAAAAAGGATGTGTTTAATCACCTGTAATCTACCAGGTTGATGCAATCTAACAGTTCAGCTTTTTCAAATCAGTGGAGGAGTGTTGTAGTTTAGTATCCGTGTGAATTAGGGCTGGGAAATATATTGAGTTTTTAAGATATATCGATGCATTTTCAAACAAGATATAGGGTAAGACAATATCGTTCATATATATCCATATAGTTTATGTTGCATTAAAATAACATTATAGAGCTGTGTAGCATGTATATAACTTACTATAGCTAACGGAAGCCCACCACCCATTAGTTAACTAGACTACTCTTTCCTAGAACTAAACAAGAGCTCACTCCCTACCAACCTGCTAGCCTACTCTTTCCTAGTGGAAGGAGCTATGTAAAATGACTCCTCTAACACCCTTTGGAGGACGGATGAACAAGTTATAATCACAGCCCCAGGATTATCTGCCTAACATTCATTTCTAGAATAATTAGATTCAAGGATAACCCCTGGTATAGGACTCTAGATTACCCCCCAGAGAGGGAATAACTGAACTCCCCTCACTAGGATGTTAGGTGTGTATGAAGTGTGTAATATAAATCAGTAAGACAAGTGTACCGTGGTGTGACTGCTCAAAACTCACCTTCTGAGGTACACAGGGTCTTTAAGGGGGACTTCCAGTCTTGTGGTGTAAATGATTTCAGTCAGAAAGTGATTTCAGAAAGTTTCCGAAAATGTATTAAAACATTTCAAATGATATTCCAAATGCAAATACAAAACCGTAAAAGTAAAAAATATAAAAATGGAAAAGAAAAGCAAAACTCAAAGACTAAAGTCTAAACCTGTGAGTGTAGACACTTGAAGTTTTA